CTCTTCCGAGATCCTTATCAGGTGAGACAAGTGCACAAAGTTATTCAAACTGAAAAGTTATAGAAATATAAATAGCAATTTTGGGTGGTGGGAGGAAGAACACTGCTTGTGCTCTTCAACGCCTGAAAAAGCAGCCAAAAGTTTAGAAACAGTCCTTCTTGGAGAGAAGGAAGGTACAAAGAGGGGATGCTTTTACAGAGGATACCAATGGATTCTGTGAATTCCTAGCTGTTTCCCATCATATGTGTCCCTTTCTAGAAGAAAACAAACCAAAATAAAAACACGAACTGGCAGTGATGTAGAACCCAATTAAGTGTATCTGGACAGTCACTCAAAATGGTTCAGAGTTGCTTCCAATTTTAGTTTTTAATTCCTCATTGTCTGGCAAAATATTTGTTTCTGTTGCACATGGATTTAATTAAGACATGTATTAAACAAGATCTGGATCTCTATGTTCGTGCTAAGCTTCGGAGCACTCACATCTCTCACGGCTAACACCCAACAGTCTCAGAAATCAGAGCAAGTACTTCATTTGAATGCAGGAACTAAAATAATAATTGCCAGTGTGCAGGGGTACCCCCCATTTCCTTTTTGAGGAAGTCCTTAATGAAACTACATTAAAGAACTAAACACGGGAGTTACTCTGTGTTGTAATTTGAAGTAAAACCAAATTTAAAACCTGCTAGTAATCTGGGCACCTGAAGGAACGTTGTGCAAGCTGGACACATTTGCTACAAAACCCTCAAAAAGCACCTTGTTTTTGCAGTAAACACATCAAGCTGCACACACTTTCATTCTGTAACACAGAAGAATTTATCACTAGGAAAATAACCAAGACAAAGGCATTTCTACTATATGTAATTTAAGTTTCAGTCTGTGTCACCTGTTACAGCCTCCTTGCAGCTTTGCAGAAGTCGACCTCAGTCGGCACTCGCTGAAACAATGCTGAAATCAGCCTTGTCTAGCTAAAACAGCGTTCTCTGCAAGCTGGAATGCATAAAAACTCCCAGCCAAGAGACTGGAAGTCATCTGTCTATTTTTTATTTCGCAAAGTCGTAAGCGGGGGGGCTAGACAGAGAACATGGCAATCGGATTTTACCCTGCCAAGAAGGTATCAGAAAAACCACACTTACTTCAAAGTGGAATCCCTCTTTAAGTGCAATTGCCCTCAGAATTTTCGAGGAGACTGTGGTCGCTAACATGTAAACATTCTTCACATCAGCATCTTCGGAGCAGTTTTCCTTCCAGCAAGAAAACATCCACCACCCAAACAAAGCTGCTAGCTCGTTGCCAGTGAACACCTTCCAGCAGCCACTGCAGACAGGACAGAAAACGTAAGGGCTTTTTAAGGTTTCCCAGGAGCATCCACTCAGGGGGAGATGTTTTCTGCAGTCACTGGAACAACAGCAATCGGAGCACACTACTGACAAGCTGCTCTACGCAAAGCCACCACACTAACAGGACTCCACATTTATCACATCCCAATGATTTACAAGCCCAGTGCGTTCTGTTAGCGAGCAAAGATACCGATTAAGTATCCTTACTGTCAGCTTTAAACCAGCTTAGGTCTTCATATAATTTATCAAACAGAAGTATTGCAGTCTATGCATTGCAGTGAGGCAATGCCTGCCCAGCCACGCATTATAGACAGTTACTTACACAATGCTCAGAATTTTGGCCTGTTAGTGGAAGAAAAATAATTTCTATTCAATACAAAGAAGCTTGCAGGGGGGATGGGGGGGAGGGAGGGAACTGACACCACAACCCCCCAAAACAAGCCCACAACAGCTAACTGTCCCCAGGTAGAATTTGATTGCCTAATAGAAGTGAAAAAAACCAGTAACAACCAGATTTTACTGTCTTTAGTAACCACTCAACTTTTCAGTTAAGTTTTACTTGGCCATTTACTGTAAACACTGGCAATCATTTACTCTTTTCCGAGTTATTAATGGATTTTATTTAAAATACATTCTTTCAAATGGAGCTATACCAAAAGATGAAGCTAGAAGGACAAATACCCCAATAGCTAAGTCACAA